AAAGATAGACATGTATAATAAAATGACATTTTGTCTTGTTGGGAGTAATTAAAAAATATTTCTTCTTAGGTATGATTGACTTTTTGATCAAAGTAAATAGAATCTATTATGAGGTAAATTCAAGCGAGTCACCTATTGTAAATAGAATCTAAGATGATTATTTACATGAGTGCATAAAAAAAAAGATTTCACAACTAAAAATTCTGTTTCCTAGCCATTATCGGGTTGTAGCTGTATCCAATTTATAGTTACGGTTTGTAAAAGTATTCGTCTGTGTGTGTCACATCAGACGCGATACTTTTTTTTTAAAGAAAACTCTATGTAAAACTTTTTTTATGATGTAGTTGATAGTATTTCATGTGAATTAAGTTAACTTGAACAATCACAAAACAAATCAACTCGCTAACGAGATGCTACTTATTCCTTTTCATCAACTATTGGCTTATTTTCCAAGATATATTTTTTTAATTTTGTTAATCTTTATACTATTTTCATTTTTTAAAATAATCTTATTTTTATGTTATCAACTTTTACTTTTAATGATCTATTCACTTAAGATTTACCTATTTCATTGTTTCCATTCGATACACTGGCTCCTGCTGTTTATTTTACTGTCAAATACCGAAAAGCATTGAAAGTAAGAAACTATTTCTGTTCACATCATACACAGGCCTTCATGTATAACGCTTTCATCAGAAAAATATTCTAAGAGAAATCTAGAAATCATATCAAATTATAACCTAAGGAGATAATCCAAAATTCAAAAGCTTCATTGGGAAGTCAACTGACAAAAATACATAAAAATTCGTGTAGTCTGACATAAGCTTTCTTTCGAGCAATATTTAAGTTTTTATCAAGATTTACGTATTACATTTTGAACAAAACACTAGATATAGAATTTAACATTTTATGCATGATAAAGGTTTTATCTATCGAAATTAAGCCATTGATGAAAACACTCATTTCTTTTTCACTATGTCTTACTTATGAATATTTCTAAGTGAACTCTAGTCTTAAGAACTCATTTTCTATCATCAAACTAGAGCATATTCTCTATTAACTGATTCATCGAGAATGAAAGTGTAGCACTGTTTCGAGCGTTGATTCCATGCATGGCTGTCAGTATCGTCTGATGATATATTCGGTAACCATACACTTATTGCTAAATGGATAAAAATTACTCATTACTATCTAATGCAAAAGAGAAATAACATAGAATGAGGATGCAAAGTTGGAGACGAGTTAGCCAATTCTCTGGTCATCGATTCGGTCTAGTCGAACTTTTAAAATCGGTTGCTTTTCACCGATTGTTTTGCTACTGTAAGCGTATACATTAATGCAACGAAGTTTAAAAGAGATTACTCTCAAAAAAATATTTGACATCAATATCTGAGATGCAAGGAGTGTGAGAATTGACTTTACTTCAAGAATCAAACATATGTAAATTTCGAAAAGATCCAAGTTTATTTTTGTCAGCTTGTTTGGATTCAATAGGAAACGAATGACGCAATAAAATGTGTAGTTGATATCCAATAATTGAGAGAATATCTATATTCATTATTTCGAAGTAGCTCATACATGGCAGCAATTCACGATAACCTCGAAATATTCAGTCTTATTTGGCTTGATGCATCGGTAAATACATCAAAAGAAAACATCAAAGCTCAATCAGATCTTCGTGCAATCATTAATTATCTGAAAACATTTGACAATGTTGTAAAGTGTGAAAAATACATTCGAAAATGTGATGAATCAGATCGAATCATGCTCATCGTCAGTGGTGGTTTGGGACGAGAAATAGTGCCTCGAATTTATAAATTTCGACAAGTTTCTTCCATCTATGTCTACTGTATGAACAAGAAGAAGAATAAGGAATGGGCCGGGCAATATCCAAAAGTAAAGGAAAATATCGATTTTGTATAGTTCTCTAATAATATTCTATTTAGATCAAGTTAATAAGTACAGATCTCGATGAACTCATTCATCGAATTAGGATAGATCATAGCAAGAAAAAGAAAATCGAAGAACAGTTTTCGATAACCTTCTTGCAAGACAATTCAATAAAAGATCGATCATCATTCGGTCTCAATGGACAATATGTTCAGTTTGAATTATTGTTAGATTCCCTTCTTCGTATAGA